ATGAGTAGTTTCAGATGTTAATTAAGTAGCTCCCATAAATGGCCCACTTCTGCTACGTTAGAAGGATAAATATCAAAGAGTATGCGACACTTATCTATCAAATCGTTCAAATTGAGGAGTCAGAAAAGAACCCAACCTTCGACAGTAAAAACATGAAAATTGATGACAATAACACATATAAAAAAACTAATTTCTGAATTTGCGCCCTAGAAATCACAATTTGTAGCTCCCTGGACTGTGATCACGTATTTTCTTTTGCACTTGTGATCAATGGACGTCAAAAAATAACCTGGCATAGAAACAAATATTGCTCATCAAAGAGAAGACAATTTAACCAATTAGTTGTCTGCTTTGTTCGTTACCCTATAGTGAAAGGAGAGCTAGGCAGTATGCTATAAATTCTTGGAAATTCTGATTATCACATTAGCGCTGTGAACAGTGGGCGTAAAGGAATGGTCGAATTATCGCAGTAAATGGCTGTTATTAATCTCTGCGGACATAACTCGCTTACCTCCTTCAATTATAGTCATTGGAGTGAGAATAGTATAGCAGCGAAAGATACTCATACGTGGAAGAATGGAGAGGAAGAGAGGGAATAAAATCTTCTAACTTCTAGAAGATCGGCAGACCTTACGCTGGTTTCACAGACTTGTCCCTTTAGCAGGATTGGTAGCCATCAAGTTTGCATAATAATGGAGTAGACACTCCACTGAGTCTTTACTCTATTATTTTCGAGTGATTACTTCATACATAGTCTATACAAGCTTGATTCCCTATTTTCTTCCAAGCCATTTGCTAGCTGGACTTAAGCTAACTTATTGGATGTTTTTTGTTTTATTCTTTGTAATCCTGGTTATGTTCTCGTGTTTTGTTCTGGTTATGGCACGCCTTGTGCGTAATACATAAACATAAACATGAACATAAACATACTCTTATGCTCAACAAATCTTCTTCAATCTACATCTTACCCGATAATATGTACATAGCAGTGGCGTACCCAGGATTTCGGCTCGGGGGGGGGGGGCGCGGCAAAAAAAATTTTTCAAATGAAGGTGCGTGGCGATAGCCACGCACTCCGAAAATTTTTTAGGGGGGCTTCTCAACAATTTTGCGGTCCCCCAACCCCCAAAATGTGGAAAAAGGGGGCGTGGCTGACGCCACGCCCCCGAAAAAAATTTTTTATAAGGCTAATTTGAATTTTTAAAAAATTTTAAAAATTATTTCAACTAATTACAAAAATAAACAAGTCATTTGCACATTTTTATAACTCATGTAAGTGACTTTCAAAAATTTCGCGACCCGTTCTCGGGGGGGGGGGGGCGCGCCCCTCCCCCCCCCCCCTCGGTACGCCACTGGTACATAGATATAATAGTGATTTTCCGTTCTTTTTCAAAACCCTATCAGAAACTTTCAGGTCATTGAATGGTAATAGGAAATAGAAATGTTTCAAAGACTATTTTGAATTATCAAGTGATGTCAGTTAAAAAACATCTACTAGCTATAAATCGCGTTAGTTATGCATACTATTTGCTATATAATAGAAAAATGTCTAGAAATTTCTTTGGGAGACTTCTTTTGTTCGTTTCTACGGCATAAAAGTGAATTCATAACGTATGCTCAGCATTTCGTTACCAAAGAGTGACACTACTTTGAAGATTTTGCATTTCTCGTAATTTTTCTTTGGAAAGTTTCTTTACATACAAAGTCGAATCGAGAGCTTAGCCTCATCTACCGAAAATGGGAATCTCCATGTAATTCTTTTCCGCACGCGGTGGAACCCTCATGCTGATGCTAGCCATAGATAGAGTTTATGGTTGTTTGTTTGATTATAATGAAACTAGCTGGCAAACCCGGCTTCTCCCGGCCCTATCAGTGGTATACTTGTAATCAGCATGCTCATTTACCCTGTGCTAACTGCCAGCCCCGTAGCTCATACTTTGAGACAAGGACAAGATCGATATCGATCGATAACGAAAAATAGCCCTCGACACCCGCCCCGCCCGGAGGTGTTTGTGTGCAATGTTTGGTCCGGATCAGTTCAGACAAATGAAAATCTCTGGTCGAAATGTACGTACATGCAGGCATACAGATAAACAGACATCTTCCAAAAAGCCAAAACCATGCGAATATTTGAACGCTTTTTTTCTTCCCGCCATGCAAGTTGACGAGTTTACCCACAAAGTTGCAAACAAGTCTGCTTTTTGGAAGCTTAAAGGCACCGTCCACCCAAAATTTCGACCTCCATGTTTTTGCCGTTCTAGGGCCTTCTCGTACCTCTGATTCCGAATATCAAGTTGAAAATCCGCAAAAACCACGAAAAGCCCCTGTTTTCAGAACTCGCAGAGCGATTTTTTCGGTACGTGACTGTTTGGACGCGCACGGATGGGCGGGACGAACGTCACGCCCATTCCGAATGGGGAGGAGCCAGCGTCGCAAACGCGGCCTGGCGATTTCCGAAGCAATTTTCTCGGTTCGGAAGCAACTTCAGGGCAGCGCGAGTTAGGCAATCATTTAGTTGGGGGCCCCGCATCTGCTAGGTATCATAATCTCACCAACCCCAATTTGGGTGGACGGTGCCTTTGAGTTTTCTACTCAAAAATCCTAGTTACTGCAGGACTGCGAGAAGGTTTTCCATGCTTTCAAAATAAGCTCATTGCCCTAAGAACTCAATCATCAGGACATTAGCTATGCTAACATTATTGGGAGTTTTGTTGCAGTACCATATACTTTGAGCTTAATTCATCAATAGATAAGCCGCACCAAAGAGGACTAGCGAAATGCGCGTGACGTACATTTTCACAAGAGAAGGCTACAAAATCTCAGTGGCGATTTGTAATGTGATGTATGCCGCTCATATAGTCTCTGGACGGTGATCTTAATTCGACACTTCCGCAAATTTCTTGGCGGCCTGTCACTTACTTTTGAATAGAGAAATGGTCATCAACGCGAAGAATGAGATGTTTAGCGTGATGGGTAGTGGCCATGATTGTGACGACGTCGCAGTTTCAGATGTTCTTAGCGACCATTCCTTTTGAAGTATCCTTGTAGCTTTTTTTTAATATCACTAGTGAACCAATAATTCTAAAGGTGCGATTTGCATCCGCTCGCTTCGGGAGCGCATTGTGCCACCCGCATCTTATGTTTTCAAATGACATAACGATGCTTTATATATCAAATTATTTGGCAGATTCAGAGACACGTCGGGGAAAACAGTCCAGTCCCCTGTGCTCCAAATATCTGGATCTCACCTTGCATATTGAATGTCCTGACTTTCTTCACTATGGAAGTTCAAAAAGTATTGAGTAAAGGGCCGGGCATACTTCACGCGATTTCAGTCGCGCCGCGATTTGGCAATCCGGCAGAAGTCTTCAGATGCAACACTAGCAAACTGCACATGCATAGCATGTATAATTTACGTGATTTCTACCTTCTTTCTGTACGCTTGAAATATGATTACAGTGATTTATGGACAGCTGGAATACTGCCAAATCGCGTCGCGACTGAATTCGCGTGAAGTATGCCCGGCTAATAAGCCACATTGTCCAAATTTGCATGATCGATCCTCAGCGAAAATGCATGGAAAGATGAGGATGTAGATTATTGAGATTTTCGATGGCTGCGCACTGGTTCACAGAAAATCTCATCAATAGGACAGATACTTGTTTCTATCAGAAACGTGCTTAGCAATGTTGGACTAGATAATCATCACATATTTGGGCAAACATAGTAACTTTATGGAAAGATAAATGGCATCGAAAAGTGACGTTCAGCGGGTGCGGATTGTACACAGCATTGAGAAATATGGCTTACACAACGTTACGGTCTTGTTCAGTACATCTGTAATACGAAAAAAAAACAGCTGAAGATGAACAGCTATGCGAAACCCTTTCTGGAGTACAACGATATGAAGCTTTGTTTTGCGTGCCCCTCTCACAGTTAGGAGGAAACGGGCCGTGCTTTTTTAAGCCATATGAGGAGTCTACATGCTATGTATTCTATAAAGCATTCTTATAAGCAAGTAAGCCAAAATAAGAATCTGTGTAATGTTGGAGAGTAGTGCAACTGCAACCCGATGACTGTTGCGCTTCTACATGTCCATGATTAAATCACAAAGGTTCCGCTAAGATAGAGTGGAGTGCAGGACAATAAAGACAGACATATCAAAGGCGAAAAACGCAGCTTGATAATTCACAGTCACAGTCTCAAGGATTTTTGATTTGATTTTCTCATGAACTACAAGTCTTGCAATCGTAGTTCATGCGAAAAAGTGATGATTTCCGCAGCAGAAGCTGAGAATGGTTAGATATGTATTAGCGCTTTCAATTTGACTAAAATGGATCGACAAAGCTGAATTGCAGTCAACTAGCTTGATGCTCGCCTTTCATAACAAAGACAATTTGGCTTCTCAAATGAATATACTGGGATAAGCTGTCGCAGTAATTTGCATATTATAACACGTGAGCGTCCAAATTTTACGGGCAAATATAGAGCAAAATTTCGGACAAATCTCATCCAAAAAGTTCGCGACAAATACTGAACGAAAAATTCCCTAAGGCTGCAAAGCTTTCCATTTTTTAAATTATTACGGGTTCCAGGATGGCATTGATCTAGCTGATGGCGCTTTCAACGTAGTATGGCCGTAAGCGAGTGCGATTCTCAACAATCTCGTTGATGTAAGCTCTGCAAACGCAAACCATTTCAAACATACCAAGCCATCGTTTGCATATGAGTCGAGACAAAAAGAACTCAGATTTTCTCGAAAGACCAAGGGTTAACAGGCTGTCGCTGTACGAGGCTTTTCGTGGACGAACCTTCTGCCTTAAAAGAGCTGGACAAGATGCACAGCAGCGACACATTATTAATTACATCTTATTGAAATTTTGTCATTAATAATTATTATTAACTATTAATTATTAAAAAATTTTATTTGTTGGTTTTGTGAAAAGTTATGAACGTACGAAACGACCTAATATTTTGGGTTTCAAAAAATCAGTCCTTACCTTTTTAATGACTCATTTCGGAAGTTTATACGCAACATTTCGGTCGAATTATAATAATTGTCCCAAACTTTGAGTTTTTTCTGTTCCGTCGCATGGTATACGGTTTAGCGCATCATAATTTGCCAAAAATTGCATGGCTGGCCGGAAAATGTCGCATCGCATACTACCGGGCAGAGTGATCTCGATAAACAGTGAATGGGGGATTATCTGAAAGGACAAAGCAAGCTCTACAAGGTGTGGAGCGAACCACCGTGGAAACATAGTTCCACCCGAAATACGAATCCAAAATATAAACATTTTACATACCCGGAAAAGCGTATCTCTGTCCATAAATGTCTTGGCAACCTCCAATTTGCATACGCATGTGATCTCATCGGACATTCACGTGTAGAGTTTGTGAAGTTTTCCCATTGCACACGAGAAATAAAAATAGGTCAAGAATGCGAATATGTCGTATTTTTGGGTTTTTTTTGCAAAAAAATTGTTTTTCTCGAAGACAAAAAGCTGAGCCTTCAAGTTTATACTTTGGAATCATACTACGAAATCACCCACCTGAAACTCAGGATTGCTTCAACATATGCAAAAGTTCGCTTTCCCGATTTCTAGACATGGGAGCCTTGATGAGCATACGAATACCCGGGCCGGTAGTAATCTACCCTACCTGGTGGCATCAAAGATGCCGGCAAGTTGACACACATCGCGGAAAGATGCCAACTCCGCCCAGCTCGCGGAGTGATTGTAGGTTTCAATAATCTTATCTAACCTTAGCACGCAATCATTTCGCACATTAAATTTTGATGACGCAGACAGCCGCAAAATTGCTACCTCGTGCGCGGTCGAACCTATGTGCGTTAACTTGAAGTGCCACCACGTTAAAGGCAGTGCTCGGCAAATCTCAACCTAGCCAAATTTGCGCCTACCTGGGGTTTTCCAATACGCTGATCCCGAAAATCCACTTTTGCAAGCTTGAAAACGGCGAAAATGAGCGTTTTTGGTGCCCTTCCCTTTGACATTGGACGAGTGGAACAAGGCCGATGACGCTAAATCGTGGCAGGACCCAATGGTTATAGCGTTGCGGCGGGCAGCCTCCAATGGTGAGAAGGAAATTGCCAAATCGTCCAGATGCGTGTAAGATTGACCTGCTTGTGTAAGTTCGAGAGCGATTTTCTCGGCAGAGAAAGCATGCTGTGCCACCGGGATTGCACTGTTTTCATAGTCGGGCGATAAGAAACCTACCGCGCTAAAATCCCGAGTTGTTGGATTTTTCCGATCCACTGCCTTTAACCATTCGACCATTCGGTCAACCATTGCCGTTTGCACCAGCAGTAGGAGGAAAGCGCTGGTAAATGGCTGCCTGTAAGAGGGATCGATACATTGCGTGAGAGACTTTGACCTGAAAGAACAGCTGATTGATATGAGCGAGAGAGGGGCGAAATCGGTGCAAACGAGATTTATAAGGGATTACTGAAAAAGATGGTGTTCTTTGAGTTTCTAAGGCATTACTGGATTTTTTCTCTGTAAGAAAATCGTAGTTTCAAAAAAGAGAAACTCATATAATGAGAAAAACGATAGTTTTTTCGATGAAAAGTAGAATTTTTGATTTTTTCGCCTAACGTAAATTGTGTGATATCGCCGCAATTCGCAAACTCGCAGACGCCGTCGGCAAAGGTGCCACCACCTCGACGTGGTAGGGGCTATAGTTGTAACGAAAGAAATTTTCGCCGAATGAACGAATATCTGATAATCAATTTTTTAAAATTTTTCGAACGAATGAATATCGAATAATTGGTTTTCGAAAATTTTTCGAACGAATGAATATCGAATATTTGATTTTCGAAAATTCTTCGAATGAACGAATATTATTCGACTTTAGTTTTTCATTTTATTCGAATTTGATCATTCGAATATTGGCACATTCCAAAATTCGAATGAACGAATACTTGAATAACCGAATTCGATCGAATATTCGACTAATTTTGAATGAATGTTCGAATATTATTCGAATTTTTGAATGCAATATTCGAATATTCGAATATTCGAATAATCATCTTTTAAAACTACTCGAATGAACGAATATTCGAATAAACTTTTTTTAAAACCCCGCGAATGAACGAATATTCGAATAAGTCATTTTTCGAAATCGTCGAATGAACGAATTATTCGAATATAGGCCTTTTTCATTTATTCGACTATTCGAATAATCGAATAAATGGACTTTCGAATATTTCGAATAAATTATTCGAACACGAATATTCGGTGCTAACTATAGTAGGGGCACGTCGAGATGCCGGCAGCTCTCTCTCTCAAAAGAGCACGCTATTTCCCGTGCTGTCTGACCTGCCGGCAGCTGCCATCTCGCGGATTTCGACGAGCTGCCGGCAGGTTGCCGGCAACTTACATCGCGAAGTTGCCGGCAGCTCCTCCTGCGCTTCTAGATATTTTCCTACAGGAGGATTTCTAGAACCGCAGATTTGTATGGAGTTTCCTAAAGAGTCTAGGCGGCATCTTTATCGAGGAAATTCTTTGGAAATAGACCTGGAACCGCCTAAATTTGGTATTTCACTTTCTGGCCACCTCACGGAAAAGGTGCCAGCGACCTGCCGAAGAGACCTGCCGCCAGGTCGGGGGGATTACTACCGGCCCCGATGTGGACGGTGTGTGCGTGAGCAAGTCGGGGTTCGTAGATTTTTCTAAACGGGAATATGATTTTTCAATTTTTTTGTGTGTAGTACCTTCTGAAATTTGGCTGCGAACGTTACGCAAATCGGACTTGGTGCGAATGCTCAGATTTTTTGTGCTAGCGTCTATCGGTTGTTGCCCCAGCGTACTTTCTTTATGCTCACACTGGCGCGATATTGCATGATAAGATACGATGCGACACTATTTTTCGGACAACATAATGCAAATGTCCATTAGGAAGGCTTATGTGGTGTTTATTGGAAGAGTCAGTGAATTCTGAACAGCTTTGCGCACTGTTTCTTCTTTTCGTCGAAAGACAAATTCTTCAATGTCAGTTTTGTGAGATTGGTATTTATTTTAGTGGAGGCAAGACTAGTTTTGAGAAATGGTCAGATGTAGCAGAACACTTCATAGACTTTGCAATTCAGAGGGGAGCTAGAGCCAATAAGGGAAGGTCAGAAGTGGTGGCCAATCCAAGCAAGCTGGCTATCATCGATGCAGCATTCAACGGATTTCGAATCTGTGTTCCATATCTGCTTGCGCCTTTGTGGACAAAGTTATGAGCAGTTTTATTGCGAAGAGTCTTCATAAGAATCGCGAACCTGTCACATTGTTGCATTTTCAGCACGCCTTTGGGCTTTAGGAATATAAAACTAGCTGCATGTTTTGGACCAGCATTATGACGAACACGAATGTGCACTGCCAAACTTACGCTTTGCATGCGCTCCTTAGCAAAATAACCACTAACAGCTCATAACTTCGCCCACATAAGCCCTAAGCAGATGAATAATATAGATTCTCAGCGTTTTATGCTGCATCCAATGGTATGCAGTTTGTATGGATGGGCCACTTCGATTTTTGACCATCCCCTTGTCAGTCGCATCGCTGTGATTCGCGGAAGTGAGTGCCATTGAGCGCCGATGATATTGCTAAGTAAGTAAACGAATATACAGTGTGGGGAAATGCACACTGATCGCTGTTACTCTCTTGCTCTACTTTCTTTCGCCGTTCTCAAAGTACCTTTAAGGCTTCAACGTCTGCATTAAAGAACAAACCACCAATCACTTTGCGTACTGGAAGACCACGGTAAGACCTTCCAGGCACAGCGCCGTCGTGAAGCAGGCTTTCTGAAAGGATAGTGTATACCAAGGTTCAAACGATTTTGCGACTAAGAACTTCTCATATGGCGTGATCGCGCACATTTTGAGTAACACTTAAGAGAATGTTAGAGAATGCAAAGAATGGTATATTTAATGTAACTTACGAATGAAGCATTAAGGAAGGCGCAGATTTCATACGTAAAGTCAACGACTCTTATTAGCTTAGTTGATGGTATTAAGCTTATTTGCTTTCTCTAATTCAATAAATGGCATTGGACGCAGAGCCCTTTTCAATCTTCCTACCGTAATCTACAGTGTGGAAGAGGTGAAGATGTTTCGCTCTATGCTGCGAATTCAAGTTGCCAGATCTACGGGTTATATTCTGAGGTCAACGACAGATGCTGCAACGAGAGGGTTATTGTCAGTGGAACAGTGTGCACGATACTTGGGCTCCCTGTAAATCGTTTAATGAGATAATGATTGATATGTGTTGGAATCGAATGCGTAAATCGAGTCTACAAGTCTCAAGAATATACTACCATATGTAAAAAATTCTTTTTATTTGGCGCTTTGGGATGCAGCTTGTGAACGCCGTATCTTCATACCACTACCTTATTCGGCTTCAATCTCCAAGTCTTTCATCACCGATGAAAGAGCTACCTGAAATGCAGATAAGGCAAAATTTGCAATCACATTTTCTAATATACATATTTCACGAACCGGATTTCATGAAGGTTCATAGCAATTTCTCGTGACTAATTCTTCAGTCTTTGCAAAACTGAAACTAAAAAATCTTATGAGGGTTCCGAAATTTGACTACCGCCGAACGTTAATATAAAAGGAAAAAGAGGGCTTAGCGTTTTGAAATACCAGGTATGTTCTTCTAGAACTTGTGAGAATTTCTGAAACTCCATAGGTCGCAGATGAAAATGGTCATGTTAAATAGCAGATAATACACCTACTTTATCTTTCAAAATCCTAAACACCAGTCGACGAAGACACAGCTCTTGCACTAGTGCATTGAAACGTAGGAGCTTCAATCAGGACTCGGTACGAGGTGGCTCCGGCGACGTTTTGGAACCGGAGTTCCCGTCGGCTTCGCAACATATTTACGACATCCTAAACAATCTCACGAAATTTAAATATGCGCAAAGGAGAATAGAACAAATTACAAAACAACTCAGCGGACGATAAAAGGAACTAATGCTGTTTCCATTTCCCTAATTGATTGGATCCGAATGGAAACGCTTTTGCATAAA